GATATATTACAAACAGGAATATGTACAGAGAAGTAGAAAGTGTTAGTACGAACAATCAGGTTTAGTAGAGAGAACAATATAGTCTCGACCAGTATCACTATTCCAATGTCTTGTAATTTGTCTGAACGCGACTCTGTTTCGGACTGCCTCTGACTCGACTGACTGACTCGCTTGCTCTGACTGACTGACGGACTTCACTCCAGACTTCAGACTGGACTCCAGACTTTAAACGGAACGATATTTATTTATACAAAATGTATAAAATGTGGCACAAGGCCAAAAAGGGGGTTGGGGAAGGACGGTCTTCTTCTGTCTTAATTCTAAACTTAGCTCGTCCCAGACACGGACCCAAACATACCAACAATATTCCAATCACCAAAACAACACATTCACTCCTACCTTTCTTACTACGTCCACCATAATACCTCAAATTCTCTATAGAAAAAACTAACTAGTCCCTTATGTACAAATATTGGTCGTGGGGAGGGCATAAAACAACAATTTTAAAAAGATCCGCAAATGAGTATGTACAATATGACTTAATATATTTACAAGAAAACAAAACAAAACATTGTGTTAGTAATAAAACCCCCACAACCTTAAATGTGGCAGAAACATCAGTTAACCGGACGAAATCAATGCGGGACTATAAAAAATTCAGGAAACCATTCATACCTCCAAGCATTCAAACAGGCACACACACATTCATACACAACAACAAATACGAAAAATCACACACCCGAAACGAAAGGCGCCCGCATCCACCAGAGAACTGACATCACTGACCACCTAACGAGGGAGGGGATGGGGAATTAAACAAAAGAAAAATAGGGACAGAAATAAAAGGGACCAATGAGCATGCATACCCTAGCTAAGTTAACCAGAAAAAGGAGAAACTAAAGATTCAAAATCAAAAACCTAAACTAACCTAATATCGGGGTGGGTTGCTTCTGTTCAACCCTGTTAGGACAAAATTCAATACCTAACCGACATCCAAGTGCCACTCTAGGTCAGCCCATTTCACTCTACACATTCGCGCAAGATTTACCCACCTTTTGCCAAATTCTGATGAAGGGAGCCGCCGCCTTTCCGTCCTAATCTTGACTTTAAGCTGATGCCTAAAGTACAAGATCAGTTGGGAAGAGGTGAACTTCTCGCCTTCATAGAATCCCTTCTGACGCGTCGTCCAAATCACGACTCTCATAACTCCTAGTAAGCAACAGAACACATAGTGTTCAGCCTTTGTCATCTGCGGCACCACATTGCTACAAACAGAACTGGCTTCCAGGACAAAAAACTTTTCCTGCAGCATGCGAACCATGAGGCCTTCAACAAACCTGCACAACGGCACTACCGTCTTGCACTGAAAAAAAGGCGTGACCAATGGTCTCGACTTCCCCAGTACAGCGACGACAGTTTGGATATTTCTCCAAGCCTGCTGAACAAAGTCTCTTGCCGACCCAGAGGGCCCCACGAATCATCAGCCAGGTGAGTGATGCCTCATCGTTATTGAGACATTTCAACCCAGGCGTCCAAGGCCATATCGAGCGAGCCTCCTGCTTCGTAAGACCGAGCTCGCCAATTAGATCATCTTGAACGCCCCACCCTAACTAACAAACGATACAATGCCTTACGAGACAACGCCTGGGCGTCGGAGAGGCCATCCGACGTCCGCAAGGGGAGTTTCAAAGTAGAAGGAGCACTCGGCTCGGGGTGTACGGCCGGCCTCCTCCCCACACGAGTGCACACTTCTCAGGGATGGGAAATGTTTTCGGACATCTTCTTTCCAAAAGGTGCCCACCTAATCCGAACCGCGACACATTCGGTCTAGAAAGGTCATGCGAAGCATATATTGACGAATCTCAATGCTAGGCATACCCAGACCGCCCTCAGAGGGATGAAGGCAACAGATCTCGCGACATACCACATGGGTCTTGCCTCTCCACAAGAAAGAGAACAAGGTCTGGACTAATGACATTAGTCGGGCATACGGGAGTGGAAGCACAGAGAGTCGGTACAGGAGGATCGGATAGATGTGTGAAACACATACTTCCGCCTTTCCCTCCAGGGAAAGTCTCCTCCGAGACCACAGATTAACCGCGACCTCGGTTGATCTTGGCCCTGGAGATCACCATCGCCGAGATATCCCATCCGTCCAGATCCGGGAAGAGAAACTCTTTGCCCCGTCACCATCTCGTACCCACTGATCTCTTTGGTGACTTCGTCAATCTCGGCTCTGCTCGACACAAGAACCGAAACGTCGTCAGCATAGGCAGAATACCTGGCTGAGGTAGAAGCCCCAGGCAGGGAAATTCCGCGCAGGACCGGATTCGCCTTTAACTTGCGAAGGAAAGGTTCCAACGCAAGAACGTAAAGCAGAGGCGAGAGCGGACAACCTTGACGAAAGGAGCGAGACAATACGAAAGGCTTCGATCTTATCCCCATTCACTTCCACCAGAAAGTCGGATCCAGGAGCGAAAGTCGGTTCCGAAACCGGCCGCCGAAAGGACAGCCTCCAGAAATCGATGGTCAACCCTATCGAAGGCCTTGGACTGATCTAAATTAGTCAGCGCAGCTTCACTGTCGACTTGTTCTAAGATCAAGCTTACCATATGAAGGTTATCCTGAATAGTCCTACCCTTCACAGCACACAGACTTCAAACGGAACTCCCTGCTTCCTCTTGAGGCGCAGTATTTATTACGTATTGCATAGTCCATTATGTTATTATGGGTAAGGTCCCATAACATCTATCTATCTATCTATCTATCTATCTATCTATCTATCTATCTATCTCTTGCAGTATTTTCGTATGTATGTATGTTTGTATATATCTATCTATCTCGGTATGTTCATTATCTATCTATCTATCTATCTCTATCTATATATATATATATATATATATATATATATATATATAATTTTGTTCATATCTATCTATCTCATTCTCTTTATAGTTATCTGTGCAAGTCACCTCATTATCTATGTATCTGTACTAGTCACGTACATATCTATCTATCTATCTATCTATCTATCTATCTATCTATCTATCTATCTATCTCCAATGGTACCTGATGCATAACACGTTATATTTGTAAGAAACAAAAAGACTTTTAGCTACAAATCTCAGATTTTGCTTGTTTCTCCTTTTTGTTTTTTTCAGTTTCGTATTCTCCTTAATTTTTGTTACTTGTGTTTCTTTGTTTTTTTTTATACCATTTCTTCTTTGGGTTATTAATTATTTCCACTAATAATACTTTCTTCTTCTTCTTCTTCTTCTTCTTCTTCTTCTTCTTCTTCTTTCCAAATGCTTTTTTATATTCTTGCAGAGTTAACTCATCTCCTCAGTAGTATGCCAGTTAATAAGTGATTAATTGGTTTTCTTTCTTTGTTGCCAGATGTTGAGTTTAATGTTTCTTTGTGATTAAACAGATGTTGGCATATGGCAATCAAAGATCTGCATTCAGTTAAGTGGCTGCCTCTATTTAGGGAATTTCAAGTTGTGACTGTTGGAACAATACAACTGCCAAAAGCTAATATGGTTATTTATACTTTCCTTATAATTGAATTTGTGTAAAAAAAAATGCAAATTCTTGAAATTATATCAGGATGATTCAAGGATCAAGGGCATGATATATCAGTCTCTTCCAATCTATCTATCTATCTATCTATCTATCTATCTATCTATCTATCTATCTATCTCAGTCTGTCTATCTCTGTTCATATCTATCTCTATCTATCTATCTATCTATCTCCATCTGTTCATCTATCTATCTATCTATCTATCTATCTATCTATCTCTGTTCATCTATCTATCTCATCTATCTATCTATCTATCTATCTATCTATCTATCTATCTATCTATCTATCTATCTATCTATCTCTATCTCTGTCTGTTCATATCTATCTATCTCCTATCTATCTATCTATCTATCTATCTCATCTGTTCAGATCTATTCTATCTATCTATCTATCTATCTATCTATCTATCTATCTATCTATCTCAGTCTGTCCATTCTATCTATTTCCGTCTGTTCATCTATCTATCTATCTATCTATCTATCTATCTCTATCTATCTATCTCAGTCTGTTCATATCTATCTATCTATCTATCTCAATCTGTTCTCTATCCTATCTATCTATCTATCTATCTATCTCTGTCCGTTGGACTATGTTCTTAATCTATCTGTTTTCTCTATCATCTATCTATCTATCTATCTATCTATCTATCTCATCTATTCATATCTATCTATCTATCTATCTATCTATCTTCTATCTATCTATCTATCTATCTATCTATCTCAGTCTGTTCTATCTATCTATCTATATCTATCTATCTTCTATCTATCTGTCTATCTATCTATCTCCGTCTGTTCATATCTATCTATCTATCTATCTCATCTCAGTCTGTTCAGATCTATCTATCTCTATCTATCTATCTCATCTATCTATCTATCTATTTCCGTCTGTTCTATCTATCTGTCTATCTATCATATCTATCTATCTATCTATCTATTTACTATTCTATCTATCTATCTATCTATCTATCTATCTATCTCTGTCTATTGTTCACTATCTTCTATCTATCTATCTATCTGTATTTTCTTCTCATCTTCATCTATCTATCTATCTATCTATCATTCTTCATCTATCTATCTATCTATCTATCTATCATCTATCTATCTCTATCTCTGTCCATCTATCTATCTATCTATCATCTCTGTTCCGTTGGACTATGTTTCTTAATCTACTCTTCTATCTATCTATCTATCTATCTATCTATCTATCTATCTATCTATCTATCTCAGTCTGTTCATATTCTATCTATCTTTATCTATCTATCTATCTCAGTCTGTCCACATCTATCTTCTCTTTGTTCATATCTATTTTCTATCTATCTATCTATCTATCTATCTATCTATCTATCTATCTATCCTTTTTGTTTTGTTTCCTTTTCGTATTCTCTTTAAGTTTTGTTACTTGTGATTATCTATCTACTTAT